GTTACGTCCAAGGGATGGTAATGTGCACATTGCTTCAGAAACAAGAAGACTGAGGTCCAGAGAGGGCTACACAGAGCAACACTAGAGGAGGAGGAGGGGGAGGGGGGGCGGGGGGGGTGTGATAACGCAAGGAACCCGACTGATCATCACTTGCTGGAGTGTACTAGATCACATGCATATACCTTGATTTCACAGTTTGCGAAGTCTCACACAAAACCCAATGGAAGATGAATGAGAACCAGGAAGATCAACTCGATTATCAAACCCGGAATTAGAGAGAGAAAACATCGTGAGTTCAAAGTGCATAGCGCTGAATCAGAGATTACAAGTCTTCTTCGATGAACACGAGTTCCAAGCCTGGCGGTCAGCAGCGCCAGCTGCCAAGTGTCAACAACAGCGCTCAACAGGTAAGTGTCACCATAGCTCACACGTCCCCCTCTCTCGTCTGCATTGTTCTCTCTCTCCCTCTATGTCTATAGTCCTGGTCTACCCTCACTCATCATGCATTCACACTCCCTATCACACAAGGATCTACTCTGAATACTACTCACTGGTGTCTCCTACTGACTATCTCTACTAACATACTAACACTGCTGGCGCAGCTATGGCTGCCTTCCCTCTAGCCAGCACTCTCTCTTCCTTCGTCTTGGCGCTGCTCTTCGGCCTAGCGCAGCTCACACACATCTAGCGCACAAGTGCCACGGCACTTCCACACTCTCATGCGCAGTGCGCATCTGTCCAAATGGGAGGCTGGCCGGTCCTTTATAGTGCTGGACTGGTCTGGCGTGGCCTGCATTCAGCCTCAAATGTGCCTGGGACTCCTGCCCAGTACCGATTGTTGCAAAGTGTGTGTCCCAGTATCTTTTCCCATGGTCTGCTGCTGCTTTGGGCCATCGGGCCTGTCTTTTGGACTCCTGGTCTGAATCAGGACTGACTGTAGCCTTCGACTTATTGCCGAACAGACATGTCTTTTCATCGAGGAGACATGACCCTAACTCAGTCCTGAAAATTGTGTCCAATACCTGTTCGTTCAGGACCTGTTGTGACCTTTCAAAATGACTTTCCACTTCATTACCGACGCGACTTTTTACCTCAGGAACTTTGTCTTTTGTGTTGCTGCTCGTGAATTTAAGTTCTAGCCGACAGGGCCCCTTGCTGTTGGGGCATCCATTAGGGGTCTGATTCGTAAAGGCCCTTTCAATAAAAGCATCCTCCCCTAGTGCGCGACCCGGTTGCTCCAGTCTATTGGTGGGGAGTCGCACCTGCCGGAAAGCGGGTCCAGCGTCTACGGAGGTTAAAACCAGCCAAGGGAGAATTTTGGGTGGTTCTCGGGGGAGGCCAAGTCTTCACGCAGGCATAAAGCGCACATAACAAGTACAACCTAGCCTGCCTGGTGGATGAATGACACACACCTATATGACTGATAATAAACAGATCACGAGTTCAAGCCGTGGCGGACACAGCAAACAGTAAGGAGGACCCCTTTGCAAAACAATCATTACTCTAGCACATTGATTCTTCTGCGTGAATCTGTTACCCTTCCATGCCTTTTGCCCCTATAGTCGTCCCCCGAACATAATGCACCCTCATTATGGCTGTACCGGACCGGAAACGTAGCTCGTATACATTCATTGTCAGGGTGCATTATGGTCTGGGGAAGATACTAGGCGCCTGAGCACTTACCAAAAATCCAGCTCCTGATGGTCGGAGCTCCATGGAACGGTTAGCCCTCAGTCAACGGAACCATAACTGCACGATACCAATATCCACAAGTCATCGTTTCCAAATACGATTGTTTGCTAACATGTCTACTACTTTCGTCTATACGAGAAGCAATTTGCTGTGAAGTTGTGAACATAGAAAAACATCTTCGCTTAAACCCGAGGGTAAATCTTGTGCAACTTCACATGCTCGCTTCTTTTTTTTTTTTTTTTTTTTTTCCCCTTCTTTGATGTGGACCATTTTACGATTTATGTGTGTCATCCTTGCCCAGGGGCCATGATAATCTTCTCTGTATCGTTCCAATTGCAACAGATGTCCCGAAGGACGATTCTTCTTCTTCTTCTTCTGCTGCTGCTGCTGCTGCTGCTGCTGCTGATGCTGCTGCTGCTGCTTTTTAATTTCGAGGCGCATGAGCACTCGCCAAAAATCCATCTCATGACGGTCGAAGCCCCATGGAACCGTTAGCCCTTGGTCAATGGAGCCATAACTTCTTCATCTTTTTCTTCTTCTTAACAAAAAATTGGACCATTTTTCGGTTTATGCATGTCATCCTTGCGCAGGGGCCATGCTACTTCTGTGTACCGTTCCAATTTTAATGGATGTCCTGAAGGACGGAACCATAACTTCTTATATGGAAGGATGACGACAATACCAGAAGGCATGACAAAGGAAGTTGGTGTGTTGTTGTACAAAGGGGAGAGAAAGCAATTCAATGAATTGACTGAATGCTTTTGTATGTGCCCTTGCCCCTCGATAGACCCGGTAATGACAGACTTGAAATAGGCGAGCATGAAATAAATGGCGCTAATAAGCTTAGTGTTCACATTATAAAAAAAAAAAAAAGGTTGTTAAATCACTTCCGAATCATGGTAACCCCGGACCCGGACACCGGACACTTCCAGACTAGTGTCTGGACCGGTCCGGAATGTCCGGTGATCCGGACACCACCGGAGCCGGACAGTCCAGACCCATGCCAGGGGGTAAAAAATGTCTGGACCAAAAAAAAAAAAAAAAAAGGGGGGGGGGGGGTGGGGTAGGCTGGGGGTGTTGGCAGGCACTTACCTGCTTTGCACTTTGTAGTTCAGGGAGCAGAGCACTTGTCTTGCAGCAAATCAACAAGCACATTTAACTAGCAGACATGCAGAGTTGCAAACAGTGCAAAGCAGGAACAAGACTAAAGAAACACAGAATTTGTTTTTGAAAGAAGTATGATTAACTTTGAACTTCGAACTTCGGATTTAGGCGCTGATCCGATGTTACATAAAAAAAAAAAAACAAGAAAGTCCCTAAAACGAAGGCAACAGGTCGGACGGGCTGGAAAAGCAAACTGGGACCCCATAGAGGTGGGTTCCGTGGGTCTTTCCCAACTACCGCGGCGGGTTTCTTTGGGCTTCTACGGAGATGGAAGCTCCTGTGGTCTGCCGTATGGCCAGGCATCCCGATGTGGGTGACACAGACGTACCTGCTGAGGAAGGGTGGACATCGAAAAGGCCGACACATTTTCACGGCAACTTTCTCGGTAGGGTTAGGGGTCCTCGAGCTTTCCATTTTGTGTAGCGCCGTTGGGCCGTTCATCACGGACTACGCGCCATGTACACTACCCGAGAATGTACCCCTAACAAAGCGCCACGCCCTCGTTTCTCGGAAAGTAGTGGGATCTGCGTTTCTCAACAAAATCGGCTAAATTACGCACTGTCGGATCAGAAGCTTAGTAATTTATGTTCATAACTTCATATAATATAACTTAACAGTTCGAAGATTGCAGTTCAATTCAGAACGTCAGAGTCTTCAGACTGGCAGCCCTGTCAGTGCTCTCTCTCTCTCTCTCTCTCTCTCCCCACAACGGGCAGCAGCGGCGGGCGGCACATCAAAACGGCCACTTTGGAATTGCTTGGGGCTGCGTGAAACCCGCCACCCCAAAAACCTGCAGTGTCTTGTGTCCGGACCTCTAGGCCCTGGCCGGTGGTCTAGGCCCTTGTCCACACTGAAAAATCACCCCGTTATTTTTCGAGGGGTGGCCAGGACCCGATAAACGTCCTGGGCCGCCCCGTTTTGTTTTTCGATTTTTGCCCCAGGGGCCTCCATCTGGACATAAGGACCGGACGAACACCGGACACCGGACACCGGACATGTTGTTCCGGACTGTCTGGACACCGGTCCGGACGTCCGGACGGTTACCATGTTGAATCATCCTTTTACAGCAAGGGACAAAAGTATATAAACAGGAGAGCATGAAATAAATCATGCTACCAAGCTAGTATTCATTTTTATTTTTTTTCGTTTATGTTTTTCGCGTAACTTCTTCATTATTGTTTTCTACAGAAAGGGCGAAAGCCACGAAATGAATTCAAGCAGGAGGTACGAACCAAAAAAAAAAAAAAAGTAGAAGTGGGAAGTATCACTACTGGAGGGCAGCAGAGGGCATGGGTGGAAGAATTCCAGGAGGGGATCTCACAAGTGAAATGTAGCAGAAGACATGCATGGTGGAACGAGTGCGGACTTGCCTCCTCTTCCCCAACACATCCAGTTTCAAGCTACATAATCCTACATGTCTGCTACAAAGTATTTCTTTTTACGATTTAACAGAGTGAACGAGCAGCGCCCCATTACTGTCTTCACCCGAATACAACGTACAGTCATTATTCCTGAATCTAGACTCAAAGTTGCCCCAAATGCAGCTATAATGGCCGTTACATTGTATTCGGGGCGAACACAGTAGTGGCCAGGGCAAACAGCAGCAAAGACCCTCACATCTGTTGAGGCCTTCTGAAATAGAACTCGAGATTTGACTTGGGGACTGTGCCCATCCTCGAGCAGTGGGCGCACACTTCAGCCTCGTGGACGCACTTCCCCGCCTTGACCACTGGGCCCACTTTTCACTGGGCCCACCTCCCAGCCTTGACCACTGGGCCCACTTTTCACTGGGCCCACATCCCAGTCTTGACCACTGGGCCCACTTTTTTTTCCCCGCCTTGACCACTGGGCCCACTTTTCACTGGGCCCAACTCCCAGCCTTGACCACTGGGCCCACATCCCAGTCTTGACCACTGGGCCCACTTTTCAACTTTGATCACTGGACCCACAACCTCTGGGTATTGGCACCAGGGAAAGCGTGGATAGTTTTGGGGGGAGGGGGAGGTTGGGGGCTAAACTGCAAAATGACGAAGTGACCAATGGGCTGTGAGGGCTGGGCCTGCCCGTTTTTCAGCTTGAAGGGTTTCTGTCCTTTCTTTCTTTTTTCGTTTTTTTTGGTATGCTTCCGAAAGTGTTGTTCTTTTCTTTGTTCTTTTCTTTTGTTTGTGTGCGTATGGGTTTTCTATTTCTTGTTTTCACAACTTTTCAGGGAAGAAGAGGGGGAAAACAGATCCTGCTCATTCTTCACTTACCTCAACAATTGTCAGAAGCGACTCCTTATTTGCCCTCATCACAGACAGGGTCTCCTCACACGAACGTCGAAATACTCCCTCAACTCCACAAATGCCCATGCCATCAACGATATCTCTTGTTAGACGAAAAGGAACCTGCTCACAGCCCACAAAAAACAGGTAGGCACCAATGGTGGGCCTAGCTCAGTTGGTACAACCATGAGCTGTTGAATTACAGACCCGAGTTCGAATCCAGATGCCACCAGATGACCAGAATAAGAACATTCTGAATTACCTGGGGCTGCTCACTTCAACGATGATATCTCAATGCCGGCGTCCTTTCTATAAAAAAAAAAGGTAAGGAAAATGAGATACAGCTTGCAACCATTGGAGAACGCGATGTTAGCGATCCCATCCTATTCACGAAAGCATTGATATGGCAAATTAGCCTACACTTTTTTTTTTTTTTAACACCCCCACCGGTGTTAGTGTTGCTACACTGAGATGAAAACACTTCAAACATTTGGTATTATACAAGTATTGAGTTCCGATCACAAATGGTTATCGCCACAATCCTCACGGACACCCAGGTCACCTCTCTCTCTCTCTCTCTCTCTCAATCTGTCTTTCTCTCGCTCTCTCTCTTTCACTAGGAGTACAACATTGAGGACAGCTTAGGCAGGGGTGAGGGGAAGTAAATCCTTCCTACAGGAAGTAATCAATGCCGTCCACTCGGGCCTTCCAACCTTAACGGAAAGGACCGTGAGAGTGCATTACTATTTTGTATTTCCTTTCTGACTTGCCGGTGGAATAGGAACCGGACAGACGCCCCCCAGAATAGATAAGGAGCCACAACCGAAAGCTTTCTCTTTTTTTGTTTTTTTTTTGTTTAATGTTGCGGTGCTCAATAGAGAACAAGTCATGAAGCACTCAATGACGTTCCAAACCCAGCGGCCAGTAACCGAAACTAAAACAAAGGTAAAGGAGTAGAGAGGAGGAGGATGGTTCCATTAACAATCTGTAGTTTACGATCGAACCGGCTCTTCAGATCCCCCTTCTTCTACGGGACCTTCTGCCCGCAACTCGCCCCCTCAGCATGCTCATCCGCCCTGACTACACTGATGAAGTCTTCCTGACTCTGTTTGACCACGTGGTTAACCTCCAGCAACGAAGCTTTAGCTATGGAAGTTGGTGCCTTCCATCTCCAGCATTCAAGTGAAAACGGCAGCCTCAGTATCACCAGTGACAACAGGTAAGCTCCATTCACTCTCGCTCCTCCCTC